CGTAATAATGGACCTAATTTTCTGTGGCACATGGATTCGTACGATAAATTAAAACCATATGGAATAGCAATAAACGGATGTATTGATGGATTTTCCAGATATGTAATTTGGTTGAGAGCAGGAAGGACAAGTAGTGATCCCAAAGTCATAGCAGCTCATTACTTAGATGCTTTAAAAGAAGTTAATGGTTGCCTATTAAGGATTCGTGCTGACTTTGGTACAGAAAACGGAACAGTTGCTGCTATTCAAACAGTTATGCTAGAAGAACTTCGCGAAGGACCATATTTCATTTATGGTAGAAGTACAGCAAATTAAAGAATTGAATCTTGGTGGTCAACATTGAGGAAACAAAATGCCCAATTTTGGATGAATCTTTTTCAAATTATGAGAGATGATTATTTATTCGATGGAACTTTTCTGGATAAAGCTCTTTGTCAATTTTGTTTTCTTGAAATAATTCAGGTAAGTTCTAATGGTTGATGTGACGGTATATGGAAACTATTTCTTGGCCTCACTTCATAATGTGTAGTCCATCGAAATCGGGATAAAGAGAAGTTCGCGTGCAATGTTGCCAGATTTTCCAACTACTCTAATTCGACCATATTTCCAATCATTTGGCGGGCTATATAGAATGATTGAAAGTTATGAAAAATGCAGATGACTTTTATTCGTGGTCGTCCGTAGTGAAAATATCGAGGAAAATATGGTTGAAAGACCATTTCTGGAAAATCTGACAACATTGCGCGTGAATTCTCCTGCATCCCGATTTTGATTTACAAGTCATAAATCGTGGCCAGAAAATGTGGATAATCATATCGAGTTAACGACAGCTAATAATCGTGTTAAATATATATATGTAGGTATTTAACCATCAACTAGTGTATCTGCTTATCCTGCGATAGAAAACTTGATTGGCGCATTTATCATTCATCAGGAAAGTACTAAGAATCACCCAGTAGCCTTATTGTTCCTGATATCAGTGACATTTGATGTTTCTCGAAATAATCAACATAGAAAATGAATTCCCTGTGTTAGAAAACAGGGACTAAAATCATTACAGATGAATGCAGATTCCGTGAGTTATAGCATATACCTACAGTGAATGTTAGGTTGCCTAAGCTACAATCGTGCATTAATAAACGAATTGATTATTAATAAGGGTCATTACCGATCAATTTCATAAACATATTACCCGTTAATACGAGGTCGACGGAAATTATTCAAGTAACAAGTGTGTAAAATGTTACTTTTTGTTAGAATAGGAAATGTTGACGCACGACGTCGAAGGAGGAGTGGGGCAATATTCCTATATGATATTTAATTTCTGACTAACATTATCACTATCAAAATTTCTATTTCAGAGAGAATTAAATGAAGTGAAATTATTGTGGAACCATCACCGTATACGAAAGACAAGGAATAGTTTGTCACCTGGAGGTAAACCAGTAATTATGTATGAAACACCCGAACTGTATCAAGCACAAGATTACAAAATTATGATTTCCAATGAGAAAATTGAAGCTTGTCGTTCAGAATGTAGATATTTACGCAATCCATGTGATGATGTTGTATATGAATTGTGTAACTTGATTATGGAGGAAGAAAATATACCGCAACCAGATGATCCATATCGGGCTCTTGATTTGTATAAATATTTAAGGAATGAAATAAATAAAATGATGTAATTATCAAGGTTGACGTGGAACGCCTTTTTACTATTTTATTGTGACATTTCAACAAACCTCATGCATTTTCATCACTATACAACCTATCGATTGTAGAATAAGCATTTCAATTGTAGATATATAAAATGTTTCATGTATACCTATTTAGAATGACATTTATTAATTATGATTGCTTCAAAAAATTAGTACCTTATCTTTCATATATTACGATAAGTAGATGATTTCGAATATTACATTAAATAAATTGTTTAATGAAAACAAATTATATGTTATATATAAGGTTATTGTTAGCGAATAGCTACGCTACTGCCCAGCTACGTCAGAGCCTTCTAGACAGACAGTGTGAAATTGCTCATAACAGTGTTTGGCGGGCAGCCGAATGAAGAGCAAGTGTAACCCTTGTCGACGTCATTCGTGTTCGTGTTCATTGAATTGTGATCACACTATAATAGTTATATTCATAGGTTTGTACCTACATAAGTATTCAAAAATTAACTTCAATCATGTAACATTTTATTCCATCTCTTCTATTGAATTATCAACCACAAATCCTATGATGCATCACGGAATGAATTGGTACCAACAAGTACCTACCTAGAATTTTGTTTCCTTCATGAATTAATAATATTGATAATCTGGCGTTGGCATCGAACGACGGTATTCCGAAACAGTTTTACTATTCAATGTGTAATTAAGAAACACTACTATCTCTGCCATAAAGTACAAGGTGTCCCAAACTGGACGCGTTCTTATGGGAACACCCCCCCCCCCCTTATTTGAAGAGATGGAAAAAATTTAACTTAGGTATCCGGAGCTCAAATTCAATGAGAAAATCATTGGCGCAAACTAAACTTCGCTATATTTCATCGTTTCGCCGCCAGAGGGCTCATCTCGAATTTAGTTAATTTTTTCAATGCCCCACAACTTTCTTAGTAATGAAGATAATTCATTTTGGTAAAAACTTTCTCAAAACATTTCCGTAGAATCTATTGCGATAGGCAGTTTCTGACAGTGCGTTTAGATAAAAAAAAGAGTGGATTGGTTCACAAAAATATGAACGCCTTGTAAAAAACTGCCTATCGCAATAATTTTTACGGAGAAAAGTGCCTTGAGAAAGATTTTACCAAAAAGTAATTATCTTCATTATGAGAAAGTTATGGGGCATTGAAAGAGTCAATGAAATTCGAGAAAAGTCCTCTGGCGGCCAAACGATAAGAGATAGCGAAGTTCGTTTGCGCCAGTGGTTTTCTCACTGAATTTGAGGACGTGACCTTGGTTGATTTTTTTCCATCTCCTCAAATAAGGGGTGCCCCTATATATAAGAACGCGTCCAGTTTGGGACACCCTGTACAACAATAATCCGCTAGACTACATCAGTTCCGAAACGAAATTATCAACAAACAATTCAATTGTTTTTGTAAAGAATTTATCTTTTCTAATGAGAATTTGTTGAATTATAAATTTATAACTTATGTTTGTTCTATTCAAAACAATACATGAATCAAACTTTGATTGATGCGATAATTTCAATTCGGTCGGTATAGTACAATAATAGCCTGTTATAATAGCCGGATCAAAAGAATCAACATCGTGAATATTTTAAATATCTTAATACGAAATAAATTCCTGCATAAAATAAGTTTGTGAACATTCATAACACAACAGCCATTAAAAGCAATTCAATTTCTATTGAAGAATCACTCAGAAAAACTGTTTATTGAAATGGTTCCAGACCTGGCATATTCGCCATTTTCTATAATACGAACGATACAGAGTTAGTGTTAGGTCGTGAACTTATCTTTCACTGGTGGTTCAATAAGTATACTCCAGAATTCGATAATTTCACATTGTGTTCAAAATTATTTTGAATATAAATTCAAGTTGATTATTATCAATAATGTTTATCTGTGGAGGCAAGTAACATTAGTCATCCCGGAATGTGGGAACGAATGACGAATGACCAGAGGACTGCCTTATTCATGAATTAGGTAACAATGCAAAATACTGAATATTACTAATAAAACAAATAATTTGAACCTAAAACATAAAAGCTTGGATAATGAATTGATGTCAAAATGAAATATGTTGTTATAATTTTTTATTCATTATTATTTTGAAATCTCTGGAAAACACTTCTTGCTTCCCAATACTTATAAATATACTTATGCCTTTCCAGAATCCTGTCATTGGATTTTCCATTAGTTTTATTTACTGAGACTTTTTCTCACTGAGTTTCATAACTCATTTTGTTCTGTACAAGCCGTTTGCATGGGCTTCTCGAGTAGGTACTCAATTTCGTAATCAAGCTTTTCAGCTTACAAGGCTACTCGAACCTTTTTTTTTTTCGAACCATTTGGTTCATTATCAAGCCTTTCAGCTTATAAGGTTACTCAAACCTTTTTCCCCGAACCGTTTGATTCGTCATCAAGCCTTTCAGCTTACAAGGTTATTCAAACCTTTTTTTTTTCTTTATTTGAGATCTTTGCCTCATAATATCCGAGCCTTCTGACTCATTAGACCCTTAAGTCTATTCAACGCATGGATAAATCCTTGATAGGTTTCACTTTTCACCACATAAATTTCGAAGTTCCACTCACCTTAATGGTAGGAAACAATATCACTACACACTTATTAAACTTTTATTCTCGTCGCCAATGTAATAACTTGCACTTTTGTAATAAAACACTGTTTGCAGTAATACTTTTATTACGGTCTTCACTGTCCGAATGTCAAACATCTACTGGTCATTTTAATCGGTTACGCATCCCTGCTCGGCATTCGGTGATAACAGATATAAGTTGAATTAGTCATATTAGTCATATACTACAATTATGAGCAATTCTAAAATATAATAATTGTTATCAAACAATTTATTTCAGGTAGCATTAGAATTCATCGATCATAATGGAACATTACTCATTTGTTTAAACAATTTAAACTGACGTAATATTGTGGAACCAAACGGCATTTTAGAGAAGTTCATGAAGCTTCTATTATTTGACGTTACAGTAAATATTAAAGTAGGGCCTCGGTCTACTGACTACTTTCCTATACTTATTCTGGTAAAATGGTGTCAATCTTCGGCAAGATCAAAACACTGATGTTCAAATTCATTTAAAAAAATAACGTTCGTAGAATATATATAATTTTATTAAGGTACAAACATAAACAGTCCTATTAAAATGTTTTAAATAAAAATAAAATAATAAATAAAATATCGTTCGAAGAAAATAACTTATACTTTCCATACAAAATAAACAAAAATGAATATCATTCTCTCAAATTTTCTAGTTAATTTTCAAAATGATGAAAAATTCAAATGATGTCCATGACCCATATATTGGAGTGCAATACTAAATTTAACGAATGACGGAATTCATTGAAATTCTCGTACGTTTTACTTAATTCTAGTGTATGACTACACGTATGTCCTACAGGTGTCCTATAAACGCCCTGTGTGTTGTTAAATGCTATTATAATATCCTGTGCAGTTAACATGTTGGCTCCGGTACAAAATCTCACAAAAGCTTCTAAGGTATTGAGATCAGCTTCTTTAATATATTGCTGAAGATGCTTGACAACAGATATTTCCTCTTGTGATATATTTTCTGGATATCTTAATAAAGGCAGTATATTTTTCGCATTTGGAATATTTTTTTTGTATAAGGATGATAATTGATCTACAGTCAACATATCCTTCAAGATATCACTCCAGGTATCTATGATGAACATGGGACGCTGAATGATTTCTTTATGGGATATATCTTTTATTATTTGACCAATATTTTCTTTTTCAATTAGCCATTTACATTCAAGTGTCTCCAAGATTTGTAAGAGTTCAGCCTCATCAACTTCTTCCCACTTTGTCAATGCCGTAGAAATAACTTCTGAATCATTATTGTTGATGTATTTCAGAAATTGCCCTGTTAAATCTGACTTGCACTCATTGAAGAAACAATATTCCATGAAAGAAGGAGCCAATTTGACGGGGAAGTAGCGTTCATCTGTCCAGCCTTTGTATATGATTTTCGCAATTGCTTTCCATTTCGTGCTATCGAAATCATGACGAATAACAGGCACTTTAAAGAAAGTACCAATGGTACATTTCTCATAGAATGTGTCAAAAAACTCGCTGAGAGCATCTCTAAATAGGCCTCCCATGTCATAGGCTATCTGTTTTTGACCATTCGGTAAATACATTTCGATTTGTAAACTTCCACAACTTTTCTGGTCGAGTGTTGTGAATGCTGATAAAAGCTCATCAAAGCACTGCCCTCTGTGTAATTTCAACAGAATAGTTTCATTTTTGTCAGTATTCACCAGTATGTTCGAATCAAGTAGATACGAATCACGTATGAATTCACCAGCATCGAATGCTAAGTCACTAACGTTAACCAGGTCGTTATCGCCAACCAAGTCGTTATCGCCAACCAAGTCGTTATCGCCAACCAATTCGTTATCGTTCGATACATTTACTTCAGCAGCAGCAGATTCATAATACTCAACATACTCAGGCCTCTCAATCTCTAACAAACTTGGTGATATTGAATCAGAATTTGTAATATCCAGAACAGGGCCATATGATTCTGGAGACGGTGTGTTTCTGGAAGAGCTAGCAGCAGAGTAAGGAGATGATGGTCTTACAACCGTTTCACATTTTTTTCCAGAATTAGAGTGATTTGGTTCCTTGTTTTTCATTATAGATGCCAAGTAAAACCTCACTCTTGATAGACCAGTTATTTTGAATAAATCTTCAACTGTAACATCATCCGAGAAAGTATTGCTCTTGAAATCCCATAGGTCAAATTCGAAATCTTCTTTAGGACCTCTGGTCGAAACACCATTAGGAAAGAATAAATTCTCAGCTTTTCTTTGTATATAAGATTTTTTTGCATCTTTCGGTACAGTAATTTTCCTAGTTCCCCCTCCACTCTTAGTTCGTACTTGCTTGGTAGGTTCTCCAAATGAGCTGCAAACCCAGCCTATTTCTATTTGTCTCTCTGTTTTCATTGCGTTATTCTTCTTTTTTTTCATTATCTTGCCTTCACTGCCTTCGTTTTCACTTCCTTCACTTTCGCTGCTGGATTTTCTGTTTATTTTTTTTTCTCAATCTTTCTAGAAGACCACTTTTCTTTGATGCATTTTTCTTCCTCTTACAGAAATCGGATATGGCTAAGCGATCTCCATATCTGCAAAAATACCGATGTAGATTTTCATCGTTCATGAGCGCAATGACATGGGTGTCCTCCTGTAATTGATAAAAATGGGTTAAGTACAGTGTTCATTGATGATGAACGAAGTATTATTTTCGTGCAAAAATCTAACATATCCTACAAAAAATGATAATGAATGTCAATTATGGAACTAAATACGAAACTAAAGACTACAGAGACACGGAACTTATGAACATTACGCTGAAACTGGCGGCCGTAGCTAGCGACCGAGCGCACAGACACGTATATACTCGTATACGTACCATACCAATGCCGTTGATTATTTTTTTAATCTATGTTAATATACATATTATTACGATCAGTGGCGCCCTATAGGCACCCACAGTCTTGGCCGCCCTAGGGCCCAGCCCATGGATGTTTTTCATTGCCAATTTATAACGAAAACAATTGAGACATTTAGTTAACTATAACGGCTACTAGGTTTCAGTCATAAGTAATAATTTCAAATTCGCGCCTTATGGGAAGTCCGTCACTCGTGTCGACAGTAGAGCTTTCTATGATTTTTTAATATTTCAGTACTTTTAGTTATTTCTTGTTATCATCAGGGAATTTTATTTCACGAATGGCCGCCCCCAATTTCTGGCCGCTCTAGGTCCGGGACCACTGTGCCTTATGGGAAATCCGCCACTGATCACGATACACATTCAGATGTTTACGAAAACAATCCTAGTTTTTGATCTCCATAATATGCAATATTCGATTTTCTCGGAATTTTCTGTATATACTCAATGCCTGTATGTTATTGAGAACAATATTCAACACTGCGAACCGGTAATAACTGATGAATAGTTTTTTCAATATACTAAAATTGAAATTGATTTTAACAAACAATTTTAAATGTTCAATGTTTTATTCTGTGCATGGAATATTTGCTGCAATACTATATCGGCTCTCGCTGAAAACCATCTTCGATGTAGAAAAAATGTTAATACATATTATTATTTTCTCGAAAATGAATTATGATTTTCTTGGGCTGTGATAGATTTTGATGAAATTTCATGCACGAGATATTCGATAATGGACTTATATCACAAACTACACCGGCCTCGGCTGAAAATCATCTTCGTTATAGAAAGAACAATTGATAGAGATTTTATCGAAAATAATTTTTAATCTTCTTAGGCCGCGGTAGATTTTGATTAAGCGACGTCCAGTTTATTTTTCGATGAAGGCCTATACTAGATCACATTTAGATGCTCAAAAATCCAGAATCCATATACTTATAAGCGATTTTTTGCAAAAAAATCCACGTAACCCACTGTGATTGACGTCTTTTGAAATATATATGTAGGTACCAGGGTTGGGGTCGTCGCAAATTATACATTCACGACGCAATTCACGACTGTAGTAAATTCAAACAAAAAAGTCGAAATTCAGAGAAAAAATTCTGAATAGAGAACTAATATAAAATGCACACAACAGTGGCCTTTCTACGCTTTCAACCTGTTTGTGTTCCAAATGGAAGAAACAATAAAAAAAAACAATTTTGTTCAAATAATATGTCACGATAATATTTTCTTAGTAATTAATAGGATGAAATGCATGCATACCTTATCTTCTAGAAGCTTGTTGATTATTTCTTCAGTGTCAAGTCCACGGTTTCTGAGAAATTTCCTCAATTCTTCTTCCATTTTTCTAACCTACTCATTAGTTGATAAGCTAGGTAGTTATTACTTATAGGGAGCTGAAATATATATTTTGATTCAAACTAAACAGTAAACAGTTGTACTTACATATATAAGGAATTACACTTTTACACCTACCTTCAAATCAACACCCTCGAAGCGTGATAATTTGTACGTTAGTTCGGAACGACTGAAGATTGCAGAATGCAGACGAAAATAGAATAGAGCGCCAACGCCACATAGACATGTATAAACAAGATTCGTAAGGAAGTGGTACAGGTGAAAAAAAAATAAAACACGTAACGGTATAGTTGCACCCGGTCGATCTGCCTGTCGTTATGCGTGTAAGATGATGTTGGGATTGGGATTCAAAATATGTGGTTGAAATTTCAACATACCAATAAGTCAAAATTTCAATTTACTAAGTCGAAATTCCAACTCAATTATGTGGAAATTTCGACTTAGTATGTTGGAATTTCAACTTATTATCTTGAAATTTCGACATAATAAGTCGAAATTTCGACATACTAAGTCGAAATTTCGACATAGTGATGTTGAAATTTCGACTTTGTATATTGAAATTTCAATTTATTATCTTGAAATTTCAACATAGCTAAGTTGAAATTTCAAGATAAAAATTTTTCGATAGTGGCCCTAATACGCTTCCGTAAAATGAAACTATTATGGGATAGAATATAAGTTATCTATGATTTACAGTAAAGAGTACATACCGCTGCTTTCCTGAAAGATCGCCACAACTCAGAATATATAGTTTTACAGAAAATAGAATTAAACATTCTGAAATAAAATCATTTCAAATTACTTGGTTTGTACACAATAATAACTGGAACAATATCTTCAAGTACAAAGAATAATACAGGAGTAGTGATTTGTAGGGAAAAAAATCAATGTTTGATTCGATTTTCTGTCAAATTTGGAAAAAAACAGAAAATGTGACAGTCTTTTCCACAAAAGTTTGATGAAGGAATCATAGAAAAAATAAAATAAAACGGAGTGAAATATTGAAATTTCAAAAAACCTCATTGAAAATCATGTAAACTTGAAATAGGAACAAGAAATATAGCTATAGAACAAAAATATGTTCATGATTAGAGATTTTTATAGAAATCAGCATAAAAGGTTGGTATGATATTTTTTTCTACCAGTGAAAGTATTCCATTTTTCTTTGAATCAGCAATACCGAGTTCTTCTTTATACACTTTTTTTATGACAATGTTAGCAGGATTGACTGAAACTCGTCTCGAGATCATAGAGACACTTGAGAAATCATCTTCTGCGTAGGAAGTTTTATAAAAGAAAAATCCGGGACTATTTTTACGTACTTCAAAAACCTTAATATCGGAAGTTCTAACTACATTACCATTGTGAGATTTATAAAGATCTTTCATTCCCATTTGTGTAGTTGAATCTTTGAGATCGAAGAGATCGCTGTGACTCATTTCAATAACATTGTAAGAATGGCCAGTCTTTTTTGATTGTCTAATAAGAGTAACGTATTGGTCCGGTAAGTAAATCGCTGCTGCCTCTTTGTATCTGGTGATTTGTTTTTCAATTACTGAGTGAACATTATCTGCATCATTTTGGTCTGATCAAATATTTGTGAGTATTTGTATCGATATGATCTAGTTTCGAAACAGCATAAGAGTACAATGCAAATAGAAACATTTTTTCATTTTGACCCGAACAATTGTCTGTATAAAATGTAATATCAATATTCTTCTCATCTTCGATTGCCGTTTCCAAATAACTGTCAGGTAAGACCTGAGATATAGAAGTATTATGCTGATCACTTTCTGGTAAGATTTGCAGCTCAGGAGTACTACACTGATCATTAATAGTACTAGGCTGATTATTATCATCCGGTAGGTCCTGGAGTATGATAGTACTAGGTTGATCACTCACTTGCCGGTAAGACTTGAGAAATAGGAGTACTCAGCTGAACGAAGTCAGGAAAAACCTGAGTTGAAGTAGGACTAGACTGATTATAGTCCGGTGAATCCTGGAGTATCATAGGGCTAGGCTGATCACTTCCGCATGAGACTTGAGGAATAAGCTAATTATCTGCAAGAAAATATTATACATTATGATCATATTGAAGAAACATGTCATTATAGTGAATGGTACCTTCAATTACATCTGTAATAGATGAGTGAACAAGACAAGAGCCATCAACAGGTACAAAAATGTCAGCCTCCTTAATTTTCTAAGCTGAAAAAATAACATGAAATGTTTTAAAGAGTTTTGAGTTTTTTTACATTGCTTTCAATTAAACGTTTTCAACTGGTAGCAATTATCTTTCAAAATCTCAGTAACTTTGATTTTTAGCAGATTTTCATTTTTACTGGTTTCATTGACTAAGGATGTCTTATGCTCTGCATTCAAACGTTGTTTTTCGGTATCACCAGTTTCTGTCAGATCTAAAATAGATTATTAGAGAGGTAAAAGTAAACAACTAATCATTATCGACCTCAACTTACCTTCATGATTCTGCAGTTCATCAGCTACTTGTCTTCTCGAACTACTGGAAAAAGACCGAATTTCCTACATTGGTTCATCAATATTATGAATTTCAAGAATATTTTTTGTGAGCTTCATAATTATCGAAGATCTCTTGGGATCATCCGCCATTTTGACAGCAAACAATTATTTCGTAAATCAAAAAGATTCATGGATATTGCAGGAAAGAATGTCCTGAACCACAGTATGATTCAACTTATTCATTATTATTTGAAAGCAAGAGTGGCACTTTTGGAAAATCAGGATAAGACACACACGAGCTCGTGTGATTGTATCGATTAATTTCCTAACAGAATGTCCTATTTCCAAATGTGACATGATTTTTGATATGCAATACGTAGTTGTAGCCTACCTTTACGAATAAAATCGTCACAATTCGAAATGTGACGCAATACTTCCGCGTCAAAGGTCACGGCACTACTGAAATAGGACGGTCTTGATCAGTAATGGGAAAGAGGTAAAGAGATTTGACGTATTACGATGGTAGCGTACGATGGAAATTATTGGCATTCAAGTTGGGACGATTTTTCTGGTTATAATATCGGTAGTTTTTCGTTCATTGGTGCATAAAACGCGAAAATGATTTTTTTTTTCAGTTGTGTCGGTCTTTCTG